ACATGTCTATTATTATTGGTAAAGAATTATTTGTATGTTATTCTTAAGTAATTGTAAACTTACCGCAGGACAATTCAAAATACTACGATAACCACTAAGAAATTGATGTTCGTGTATAGAAGAAAATTTGATTGGAGATTGATATTTTTGAATTCGATTCCATGCATCGGAAGGTGGAGAACAGAAATGACAATTTAATTTTTGACATGCTGTCATACCATAATTTCCATATGGTTCTAGGAGAGAAAATATACCATGAAAATGAGGTGATAATTGTAACATAGCATGACGAAATGAACATGTTTTCATAAAGAATATACTTCCTAAAAGAAAAAAATAGTAAAACAAAAAGGGAAAAAATGAATAACATACGATCAATTTGAAGATAAAATTCTAATGCAACAGCATACTCATGGATAGGTAGTACATCATTATCAGTTAATGTATGCTTTTGTAATCCATAATCGATACGTTCATGAGTCATTAAATCAAAACATTTTCGTAAACGTTGATAGTTATAATCAATAATAGCATTATTAATATGTAAACGACGAGATAGATCAACGAACAATTCTCTATATAATTTGACAAAGAATGAAGAAAAATTATTGTTAATACTTTCATCAATAAATTGAAAGGATGATGGAAAATTATCACGATTTTCGTAACGGCGACGTTGTTCATGTGTTAAAAGTTGTCCTATGATTCAAATGAGAGAACAAATAATGAATTTAATCATAAAATAAAAAATAAAAACATACGAGGAGTATTAGGGAAGAGAAAATGATCTTGTCGATCCGTATCCGATGCTTGATCCAATGATGGATAAGCAGGTAACAGTGCCAGACGATTATTGATCTTTGTAATACATGAAATTGCTGTAGGTTGTATTGGTTGAATAGTTGTAGATGGATTGAGTTGAGGAGTATGTTTCTTATTACCTTGTTGCTTTTTTTCATTATCATCATCATGATCATCATCATCATCATCCGATGATGATGCCCATAATATTCGATTTAAACTAACACGATGTAGACGATGCATTTCTTTCAAACAATATACAAGAAAGATTTTCAATCTAGAAGAAAGATTAGGAAAAGTAGCACGACTACATATGAAAAAATTCTAAGAGTTACATAAAAATGAAATATATTACATATAGTAGATAGAATTATATGCAAAACAAATCGAATGAATAAACTCTAACAGGAAAAAAAATTATTGTCATACTGGAGATAATTCAGAATCGTTGTTGACAGTAAAGTGAATAGAATCGTATCTATCATTATTATTTGTGTCATAAGATCCTTTTAAATGATTCGTATTAGCTCCTATTGAATCCATCGTTGTACAACGTTTTCTTCGAAAATTAACTATACTATGGTACACTATAACATTATATACAATAAAAT